TGATGCCGATGCCCGCTCCTGTGGCTAGTCGGAGAGTTTTCTATCGAAGGATTCAACAAGTAGGTTGGTTTCACTGATGATTTGAATTAAATACTAGTCGCATGTCGGTTACCTTGGAGTCTTACAGACCAACATTTCATTTTTGGCTTTGCAGATTCTGATCCGCAGTCGTTAACACCCTGCCAAGCGATCCAAACATATATGGAACCGCATCGCATAAAACGTACCATTTCTCAAGAAAGTGCTGTCGTCAGCAAACATCCCGATTTGACAATTGTTTGGCAGGTATTTGGGTTTGCGGTTTTCATTGACCATTACGCTTAACAAGGTGGGGCTTATAACGGAGCCTTGGACCGCGCCATCTTTCAAGATAGAGTCTTTGCTGAGATTCTTCCCTATGGATACACGTATCTTCCTTGCCGCAAGAACACTTGCTATCTAGTTGTACATACGACCACCTATTCCTAGTTGGCGCAGCTTATGCATCAATCCATCTGTCCAGAAAAGATAGAAAACTTCCGTTAGGCATACGAACACTGCTATTCAATTTATTAGACATTGCGAGTTGTAACTAGTTGTAGTCTAACTATGTGATCCGCCGTAGATATATTAAATATTACTTTCCAAGTAATACCGAAGACGATTTATTACTATCTTTTCCGGGATTTTGCATAATGTGGATGTCAGACTCACTAAAACAGAATGTAACGGGTCTGTAAGATTCTGTTTTAGTGGGATCTTTCCCGGCTTTAAGGACAGGCGTAATGGATGCTGTCTTTCATTTTGTCGGTATGTGGCCATTAATCCAAGATTCGATAAAGAATAACACTGAGTACTTCACTTCATCCTCCCCAGCTGCCTTCTGTTTGTCGCTGTCCCATACTCTGTCCCCATAAGTAACTACTTCGATTTGATTTTGGCCCAGACATTCCTGATCTGGCTGGTTTAGCGTTTGACAGTAGTCATGCCAGTGGGTGATGTGAGCCTCTGGTGCTTCTAAGTATGCCCGTTTTGTTTCGGCGTCGAGGTTACGTTTAACACAACGTAGTGTTTTTCTTCCGACCACGAGGGCTAGGACAAACCCTGATTTTGTAAGTGTCCTTGGTTTCCTTCATGTGCACCATGGTGACAATTTTGGCGCACGCATCTACTTCCACATCCCTTGTATCCTTCATAACCCACTGCGAACAGCTTTCAGTAAATTTGATCTAATCTTCGTTTGCGATTCGCCATTTTGTTTAGACATCAATTCAGCGACCCCGGCCCGAAAACCATTTAGGTTATGCTGCAGGATTTTGAGACTGCGATCCATTGCGACAATACTAAGATACTAGTCTAATACTGTTGAGTTCGAAACGTTTTTTATTCCACTACCTCCTCCTCTCCTTTGCTCACTTCCGGGTGAGTGTTTGAGTTATTCGGCTTGAGTTAATAGCATCGACATACTTGATAGCTGATCTGGCCTTAGTTGTCTCTACAGTGATTCAGAGCTCCCTCGTTCACCCTTTATCCTTTTCGGGAAACGTCAATCCGGTTACTAGCTGGGATTTAGAGCTCTTTAAAGTTCTCAACAGGGTTTTGTGAGCAATCATCATCGTGTGTTCTTGTATTTATTTTCTCTCGTTTGAAATATGGCCAGTTTACATATCAGTGAATATAGATAAAGATAAATAATTTTAAGTATATAAAAATGAATATATATAAATGTATATAAGAATAAATAGATATAAATATACATAAATCTAAATATAATATATAATATAGATAGTTTTTGATCAACTTCCCAACTTATCAGTCATGTGGAATGATACACATCAAACTTTGTGGTATGACAATCACCACATTAATGGTCATGATGACATGATGCCCATCAACCTGTCGATCATGTGGTATGATGATACACACGGGCATGCTACTCATGTGGTATGATACACGTCAAGTTGACAGTCATTTTGTAATATACACGGTAATCTGTCAGTCTTGAGGTATGATACACGTCAACATGTCAATCATGTGCTATGATAATAGGTCTTAATTTTATGACATATTGCATGGTTGTGTCAGACAGGTCAAATTTTAGACTATTATGTGCAGGTGAACAACAGCAAAAGTAAGTCTTAATAGGTTTTATCCCCCATGATGCCTTTAGAATACTATTATCAACTACACCGAATAGAGGTATGAGATGCTTAGTTGCCTGAAGTCCAGGTGCATGGCAAGGCAAGTTTGTTATCCTTTTTATTGATGTACATCATCGTGCAAGATCTGAGATTGTTATACATGTACTTCAAGTTTGAATTCTATGGTTTTCTTTATCTATATTTCTGAAAGAATCTTGAGGTTATTTAGTGTAAGATTTGATGTTTTTTAAATTGTTTATAAGAACTATTCACACACCATTATTTAATAGAGAATTAAATAGAGTTTGTTATGACACCAATGTTAATTCTGCCTTGAAGTGAATAGATACTATTACAGACTGTATCTTATGTCAACTTTGAATAGAGGAGGTTTGGGGGTCGGCAAGATGACGAATCTTGTATACAAGTTTACTTTGAAATTTAAAAATATCTTAAACTATTGAAAAAATGTATCACCTAACATTGATACGGAATATCTTATTCTATATAAATAGGAAGTTTCCTTTAAATGTAGTCTATTGCTATTGTAGGCAGTTTACAATGACTTAGTTTTACAAATGGTGCAAGTTAGACCGAAACATCTGCCTCCATTTCAGCCTCTGATAGTCATTTTGACAATAAATTATCGGCTTGAGTATTCAACAGAATAGAGACAGATGTTTCGAACTATTCTCAAATACACAGATAAATAGCATGTGGAAATAGCAGGGCCTTATATTATGGACCAGTGTAAATAGAATACCGAAAAAAACCTAAGCAAGGATCTCTACACCTTGAAACAAACAATTCTAAATTTTATTTGACCTCATCGACCACGCAGTGGACTCAGTTCAACCAGTCCTTTTGGTAGTTGAGCGACCACGAAATAGAATCGAATTTCAAATCATGCGTATATTCTAATAAAATTTCGGTCATACTCTGGTCTACGTATGAATGTACTTGAAACCTTTTTGTTCCTTTTTCTCAACAATGTTGACTGCCGTATATGGTTGTATGGGATAGATCTACCTTAAAATTGTTTTATTGTCACCTTTTGTGGGCACCAGAGTAAAAGTAGTGGGTTGTTTATTTGATTTTCTAATCCTGTCTGTAGGTTGACAGTCTCAATAGATTAACACCTATTGTCAAACATAATCAAATATTTTCTACTGGTGGTAACAAGATGATGCAAGTATGTGCTAATCTTAAATCGTGTGGTAATGTCTACAGTTAACCAAGCTTATGTAAATTACACGACAAACATGGTGAAGGAATGAAAAGAACAAGAAAAGAACTTGTCATTGTAAAGAATTTTAAGATAGTTTGTATTGTCACTTGACAGTAGCAATTAATCTTTTAAATTGTTCAAGATCACAGTTGATAAGAGGGCGATTTTTTCCCAGAATAAAATTTCAGTAGAACAAATTGATCTTGACCTAGGTACCTGAAAATAAAATGAAATAGGGTTTATGTGCATCCTACATTCTTGCACTTACTTGGGTTGAAGAAGGTGCCCAGCCTGTAGCACACGCGGCCTCAGTTCAATTCGAAAAATTAGTCGCTTTGTCCATGTCAATCCTAAACTGAAAGATCTGCCTCTATTCCAGCTCACTTCCGATTGTGCAGGGTTTTTAAACCTATTTTTATTTAATTTGGATCCCAGATATATTCGGAAAGATCGATATTTTTTGTAATTCAGTCATCATTTATGTTAAGTCTACGGTCAACGAAACTTATCTCCCTTCGGTCATTCAAAACTGCCAAAGATTCAAGGATAGGCCAAGTAAAAAAAATAGAAAAGAAAATTCCATTATTTTTATGCGAACAGGAAAAGAAGCCTCAAAAGTAGTACTGTTAGCCTTAGAATTTCTTGGCGTTGATAAAAATATAAACTTGAGCACACATGTCATTCAAATTTGTTTTTACAGATAATGATTTTCAGTCTTAAGGCGGTTTTCCAGGGGACGATTTTTTTCGTGCGAATTTTGATTTCCATTGTTATCGAAGATCGACGTAATCGCTATTCTAACGCCCTTGTCCATCAGCGACAAAACAGCGGCTATTAAGCCCTGCTATTAAGCTATTGTTTATATTAACTACGGTAGTTCTAATTATTTTCAAGATTTTGTTTTATTTCCTCTGGATCCAAAGAAATTCGTGGGCCTAGAGTTTGCTTGGCGACTGATAATCGGCCATGCCGTTTTCTGCCATCTTTGACGTCATGCCCATAAGAACCTATTCCTACTTTTTTTGCGATCGTCGTGACGATTTTTTTTCGCTGCAAATTCTAGTACTTCTTATCAATACGCATGTACGAAAAAATCGCTTCGTCCGAAAAAAATCGCCCCGTGGAAAACAGCCTTAAATTGGCTTTTTTCTCTTCAATTTAAACTTACAGAAAAATATATTTTTACCATAGGTTCAATCTGTGCCAAGCATTAAACCCACTGAACCTCTTTCAATTTATTATTGTATATATCAAAACAACTACTTGTATTGGAGTTATTTTTGCATGGTGAATAATTTAGAAATATAAGATCTGCTCATTTAGGATGACTATTTAACGTTGTCCGTAGGAAAAGAATTATAACAGTTATCTATCCTTGTTGACTAACTTTATTGAGAAAACATATTCCTCATCAATGTTACATGCTAATGTTGCATTTTCAAGTCATGTGGACCTTTATCAAAATTTGAATACTGTATGTTTGTGGGCTACACTTAAAAATAAAGTGTTTAAATCCTCTAAAAGCTATAAGTATAAATATATAATCGTAGTAATTTTTTAAGATTGCTCAAAGCAAGTACGTCAATGTTTTGTTTTTATTGCCGACAACAAAAATCTGAGATAAGTCTTCACTTCAGTACACGTCAGTAAGATAGTAATAAGGTAACATTTAATTGATATCGATGTCAAAATGAAGATATCAAACTATTGGATTGTGGCATTAACCTGTGTTTTAGATTTTATATTGTGCACTAAAGATTTACCAGATAATTTATCTAAAGGTTCGTTTACGTTTATTTTTTTTTCTTTTGTCACAGTGGAAAGAAGTGTCGATCCCATAGCATACCACTGAAATGTAACTTAAGGTTAATAAAAATTATGTAGGACTATTGGAATGGTATCTTTAGCCTATTTTGATATTTTCCAAATTTCATTTTAAAGCGCTGTTACCTTACACAGTAGGCCTACCATTTTTTCCAAAAAAGTAAGAGCCTTAAAACTTATCCCTTTTGATCAAAAATATCAGAAAATTAGATTGTCATAAAATATAAGATTGTAGAGAAAAGTTCAGTTATTCAGAGCCTAAGAAATAGCTAGATTCTCTTGTTTTTATCACCTTATAAGTAGCCAAATTGACCTGACAACACTCTTAAACATATATCCCTATTGTCAATACACTTAAACTTGAAATTAGGCTATTAAAGATGACCTAGTAAGATAAATAAATTTTTATTCAATTAAAAACCAAACTACCCTTTGAAGAGCTTATAGTCAGCTTATATTAGTAGCTTATGCTGGATATCATGGAACAAAAATCAAAGAATCTAGTCTTAAATCCATAAAAGAATTCTTATAGGACATCTGTATGTTGATTTTCTATCTGAAATATGTTGTGTCACCTTTCATATGAAGAAGAGCGAAAATATGCCTACATCAAATGTTTTCAATTATAAAAGATAGACCTAACACTCCTAACAGTATAAATAAAACAAATTAAAAATGGTTGTAGATCAGCTATATCTTATGCTCTGTATGTTTTCTATATTATGTTACTTTATTTCTTACAATTCAGAATTATATTGTGCTGGATGTGAGTTTACAGTTAAAGGTAAATATTTTATTACTTTCTCTTCAATATAACAGTGGTTTGGATAAATGCATAAACTACCAATCATGTCAAACTTGATCTTAATATTTATATCAGAACTAAATGTGTTAAAAAACCCAATTTGGCTATCCATATCACCTTTAAGTTTGGAAAATATGTTTCTGTAGTAGGAATTGATCAGATATCCGAAATAAATTTTGAAAAGTGCCACAATTGGCTAAAAATTTGTTTAATTACTGACTTGATATTTCAGCTCTAGATAAGTTATTAAAAGGATCATCTAATGAAGCCTATGATATCCGAGTGTTAGAAACTTTAACTACTATTTGTGATAAAGAAACCTTTATTGAATCAGATTATTCCCCGGTTTCTATGCAACTGGCCTGTAATACTTTATTAGGTAAGACCATCGTGCTTTAATTTATACCAAATTATTGTAGCATGTGATCTATGACAATAAGATGATTTTTTGTGGTACAATATCTAGTTTTACAACTTAAAAAGGTTGCATTTTTAACTTGTACTTGGGCCTTATTTATAGTTCGTTTGTATAGATAAAAGTTTTCAACAACACCATCCACAAATCATTACAAAGATGACTCAACTCATATGCATATTTTGTAGAAAAGAATGAAGCCATTCTGGAACCTTATTTAGTAAGTCATTACAGTAGAATAGAGAGAAATAGTTATAGTGAATTATTACAACAGATATGTCATAGTATATCAGCTGCTTGTACCAATGTCAGTAGAAAAAAGATGGAAAAATTAAAGGTGAGCTCAAGCTTTATAAACCTTATTTGCATCTTTTTAATCATATTACTTTAATTGTCTTTAGGTATAGAATTTAACATACTTGTTTATCTCATCTAAAAGATACATAACATACATACATATAAATACCATAACATACAAACAATTTTCACTGTTAAAACCATGCTCAATACATAAATTGCAGAGTGATATAGAAATATTAAAACGGACCTTAGTTGTTACTCAGAGTTTCACGCTATGCGATTTTCAAACAACTAATCTATTTCAGCCTGTGTCCCTACTGAAGTTGGACATGTAGAACTTGTTCTCATGTCCTACTGAAGTTGGACAAGTAGAACTTATTCTCATGTCTTCACTTCAAGATGAGTTCGGAACATTTATGTAGGATTTAGCTCTGAATGGACCATAATATTTAATAATTATTATTTTTAAATTTAAGTTGCCAAATTTGTTTTGAAATCTCAGTACTGTTTTAATATTTTTGATGTTGAAACAACTGCATATGATTGTAAAATCTTTGTTTAACAAGTCCCAGATATGTTTTATGTTCATTTGAGTCAGTGTTTGTGACTTCATCCTTGTATATAATATTATTAGTTTGTCATTCACCATTTAGTGGACATACTCATATTGTAAACAACCAATTACTGACTGACCAGAACTGTGTATTGTACTACATGCAGTTAAAAAAAACAATTTTTGTTAAATTAAGTACACCCCATGTCCTGTCAGCACCTTTCATTATAGCTTATATTATACAATAATCAGTTTCTACAAACTGTGTACGGCCTGGTTTTCATCTAAACAAATCCATTTTTTCTATTTATAGATTTTCCATGTTTCTGAAGATGGTAATATTAATATTAATGAAGATGAATGGAAAACCCCTAAACCAATGAAAGAAAGTCGAAATGAGTTATAAAATCTGTAACATTATATGTATATTATGTTTAACAAATTGGGAGTGTGATATATAATGTTATCACAAGTATTTACCATTAATTTCAGTGAAATTTTGATATAAGGCTGGTTAAACGTGATATATAATAGATAGATACCAAGTATCAGAATATTAGAATAGTAGTCAAAACCTCAGGCATTTAACTTTATTCCTATAGCAATAATTATACAGGTATGAGTATTTTTCACTTCTGTATCAAGAATCTAATTTCATGTAAGAACATATCTTGGGATGTCTTACACAAAAAATCTCTGTGCAGGATTGATGAAGGTGCAAAATACTGTCAAGGAGAATCTCATTGTGTGATATACAATATATTTTGTTTTGAAACAATTGTTATTTTGTGGGTGATATAAGGTATTTATTTTACTATTATTAACAGTGGTTGAGTGGAATATATTTCCTTTTTTTATTTGTTATTTTACTGTGTAACATTTTATATAAACTCATATGCAAATATTGTATCTTATAACAATAATCCTTACAATTATGCATGGCAGATTTAGTGTCTTTGTAAGCTACGACATGCTTCCCACACAAAACTCTCTGGTCAAGAGATACATATTTTACTTTAACCACAAATGCAATATCTAATAGTGCTTGCATGCAAAGATTAAATGATCTCAAAGAAATTGTGCAAATATAATCTCTACTTATTGATGGTTATATAATGACAAAACAATGCATTATTGCTTTTGGGAAAATGGGAGTCCATTTGAAACACAAAGTTAAAGGCTTGTTAACAAATAATTTAATTCAGTTTACAATAAAAGGACGGATTATTGACTATAAAATAACTAACATTTAAATCAATTGTAACAATAGACTCTTGATAATTCTGGCTTGGAATGCCACAGTATTTCTTCCAGGATGCATTGGTTCTTCTTCTAATGGCTGCTCAATTACAGCTTTTACCGATCTTCCATACACTGAAATTAGTTGTAACTAATAAGAATGTTCTTCATGATATAACTAATGACTCTTAGCTCATAAATGCAGTCTTTTAATATTGAAAGTTGAAAATCAAGAAACACCATTTCATGGCTCATTAAACATTTCAAAGTGAAATTCAAGGACTGTACCCATAGAATATTGATATTAAATTACTTTTACATTTCACACTGTAATATCAGAAATACAAGTCTGAATGTAGTCAAAGCAATACTTTCCAAAATTCTTCAAAGAACTAACTTTAGCCAGAACCAAGATTTGATAATACTTGTTGTTTAAGGAAATATAATGTCATCATTGTCTTTGGACACATAATAATGGGAAGAAGCCATTGGTAAATAACTTCACAATAGTAGAAAACACTTACATTCGCAGCATTCTAAAAAAGCAATACATTCCTGTATGACAGAATCTCTGATCATTATCATGTGTTTAGACATGTTCTCTATCAAGGATAAGAAACATCTTTTAGCATAAAACCAGGTATCTGTTCCTAGCTTCTTGTTATATGGTTCTAAACTCTTTATTACCCTTGATATTCCAAACTCATAATTCCCTTTAGCACAGTAAAGTGTTCTAGAAAAGACAATAAGATAAATCAAAGCATAAAAAAATTAGCAAGATGTGAAGAAAAAGGATGGTGCAGAGTACAAGTCTCTCTCCATCAAATTTCTCAACTAGTTACATATAAGTTTGTAGGAACTAACATAAAAACCTGTTAAGATTAGACAATAAAACAAGTTGTAGATTTATAAAATATAAAAGTATAGAAATAAATAAAGAAGTTCATATGAGATTGAGAAATTTTTTTTTTTTTTTTGTATAAACAATATTTATTTACATAATAGGATTAGGGAACAGGCTTTCGTATATAGTACCCTCTCGAGAAATTTCACCACCACTGTGTTTACCTGTCTACAATAAAAGTAGCTACAATCTAAAAGACACGGTATAAAAAAGTCTGTATCCAAACTTACCCAATAACAAGATTAACAATACATAAATGATAGGCCTTTTTATCAGGATCCTCATAGGCTGATTGTTCTTCTTCTTTCTCTATCTTTCTCATTAATTCTTCGCCCTAACAAAATAACAAAAATAACAATTTAGATTTCAAATTTTGACCAACCTATTCTAATAGTCTGAGAGATATGCTGGACATTTTCAAACATTATTACTCTTTTATATTATTTTAAGCATTAAACAATAATACTATAGATAAATAACAATGAATAGCATACCTCTTCATTCTGACTGGTCATAATGTATGATACACACAGATTGGCTAAAACTATAGCACTGACATTCAATAACTGGAAATAAAACAACATCTATTGACCACAAATCTACTTTCATACCATGTATTAGCATAGGGCGGTAACATAGTGTGTTAACTATTCTAAACACCTTATATCATTTTTCACTATGAAATTCTTGATCATTTGACATTTATGACAGAGTACTTCGTAATACAAAATTTTCATTAGGTGCTTCTAATGTTTTACCAAACTGTTATTTTGGATTTTGAGTTTATTATGGAACTTCAATCATTAGTACTTGCTTCATTTAAATATTTACTATGAAAATTTTGTTTTCACTCTTAAATGATTACACCCACAATTTACTGTAACTATTCCACTCCAAGTTATTTATCACAATATTAAGTAGAAGTCACAATGGGCTGTATTTTCAGACTACAATAATAACAGAAACTCACATTATCATAATTTTTCTTCACAATTGGTTCATAAAACCCTGTGGCTTCTTTATATTTATTTTCTTGCATGAATAAGACATGAGCAACATTGAGTTTCCATGCATCATGTTCATTACAGAACTCTACTGATTTACGGAATATCTTTTCTACTTGTAGATAATTATCCATATCCCAATAGATCTTGGCTTGCTGCATCAGTACTGGTATATATCTGAGAAAAGAACATAAATTTATAAACTTAAAAAGGGTTTCAAGTCTTATTCTAGACAATGTTTTATGCCATAAATTTTACCTCAACAAAAGTACCAAAAAAAAATATAAGTTAAATCTAAGAAAAATGTTAATGGTAAGTTATATAGGTATACCTTAGATACTTCAAGATACAAACCTGAATCCTCTACAACACCTACCACAGTCATAATTTCTATAGAACTCAAGTTGCGCTAAATAGCGTAATTCAAACTATAGTGATGAAATGAGGATAATTACCTTTCAAGAGCCTCATCATAATCATTAAGGGCTTTTTTGACTGCTTCATCATCATGATTCTGTCGAGATTCTTGAACCTACAAATAGCCAAGAGCTTATCATATACCTTCTTTGTTGTTTATTATTCCTTAACATGCTTTTCAGAGATATTGCCCATAGTTTCATTGAAAGATAGCTTGCCAGGCAAGGTAACATATGCCCACTGGCAGCTTTTAGAAGTGATAAAACAGTATTTAGTGACTAAAGTATGATTTGTCTCATGTCAAAGAAATTTTAATAGTTTGAATTCAATGATACTGCCAGTTATTTATGATGAGAAATTCCACCAAGTTTTTGAATATAGCTAATAGAGTGTAACGTGAAAAATTATCCGATCATCACGAAAATCGATAGGGATCATCTTCATAATGACATTGACACACAAAATGAAAATCAAAGAATCTGTAAAGAATTGTAGCCTTTAGAGTGAGCACGAACCAAATGTGAAAGGACCGATGGACGGACGGACGGACGGACAGGGTGATTACAATATACGTCCATCTTATGTGTGGGCGACTGGGCATATAAAAAGCTTTGCTTATATTTTCCTGTTGTAATTTTATGAATAAGCTGATTTTTATTACTGTTTAAAATCTTGGGGTTTGTCATATATATAGCTGAGGTCCTTTCTATGAAAGACTGTCATATTAACATGGTCATGCTAAAGGGAGTTATCTCACCTGTTTAGTAATTTTTCTCAAAGTTTCAGTTTGTTTTGATGCCATTTCATCCAGTCTTCTATATGCTTCTTCCGGGGAAGTCTGCCTGGTTATCACAGCTTCCAAAAAATCATACAGGTACTAAAAATATGGAGCACATAAAATAATAGACATTTAATTTCATAACAATCATCATGAGGATCATAGCCTAGTTATTTAAAAACCTGATTGTCTTTATCTCATGGATTGTTCTTGTACTTCATATAAAAGAGTTTTAAAAATTTAATTTTCTTTATGTTGATGTAAGCAGCCCAATTTCAGCTATTTGTATCTCTTTTCAAACTGTTTCACATTCAAAGTTGTTAATAACATTATTAAGTACAGTTAAATTGTGATTTCATAAAATGGGAAATAATCAAAAGAGAAAATAAATACATATGGCTGAAACTAAGCTCTGGTGAGCAAATATTTGGTATACATAATCCCTTTCAGATAAAATCGAGTATCAAAATATATTATACTTACCGGTGATAAAAATTTATAAGTCATGTGAGCATTTTCAGCCAAAACATCAGCAGCAAGATCATAATACTGAAATGAACATAAAAATTGACGATTCAATTTAAAAAATGTTTTTATGAAATGCAAATTTACATTCTGTACCTCTGGAAAAATGTACAAGTTACACTTCAATCTAATAAGCATTCTTAATAAGAAAATAGACAGAAGTATTCCTATTATGATCAAAATTCTAACCATGCAATAACATATATAATTTAAAGTCACTCACCTCATATTTAATATATAAGATTAACAGATTTCCAAATGTTTCCAGTGGGAAAGGGTTCTGTTGCAGAAGAAATTGGAGTTTTTGGAAACCTTCAGTTGGTTTAGCTTCCATGTTCATCAAAGCTTGATTATGTAAAGTTACAGCATCTAATTCTTCTTCCCCTCTAGGAGGCATGTCAGTCAATGCTTCACAGGCTGATTCATCTGACATAAAATTATACCAGCATTATTAATTCATATAAAAAGAAAGAAAACAGAGAAACCACTATATTTTACAAGGATAACATCCCACATTCACAAAGGATTCTTTCTACCAGCTGGTCATTGGCCACACCTTATGGCATTATATGTGAAGAATGAAGATGACTTATTCAAGGTCTTTGGACTTTCACACTGGCCAAGATTAGAACTCACAACCACAATTAGTTTGATGATCTTACATCTCACCCCTGGTTTACAAACTCATACACAGTGATTTAGAGAAATATATACTTACAGTTTTTAAGCTGATACTCAATTGCTGCCTTGAGATTAAAAGCTTCTATTAAAGCTGTTTCATGTAGAGTTAAAGTATTTCCTACACTTCTGACATCAATACCTTCAGTTGTCATTCCCACACTCAATTCTACATGCACAAAGTTAAAATAGTTCTCATCTCATTTTAACAAAATTGATGCCGAATAACATGTTTATTGGTCTAAAGTCTAGTGCCACTAAGCAATTAGGCTTGTCATCCCAAAAATATAGCTTACAATCCACATGGCTTATCACATGGCTTGATCATTTTTTGCCACAACAAATTTGGAAGGTTTGACCTTTGCTCCAATTATGACTGAAAATAGTCTTACTGACCTGGATGATCTCTTATGCCTTTCTCTATAATATCGGCTATATGTTTTAAAGCTGGGGCATACTGTTTTAACATGTAATGACATAGTGCTATATTATATGATAAATGTGGTTGATATCCTAATATCTGTATAGCTGTAATAAACTTCTGACAGGCCTCATCATAACGCCCATCCTGAAATTTTATAATATAGACTTAATACATACAACAGTCATTTGAATTGATTGAAATTAGAATATATTGTCAAATATATCCACAGAGTTAACAGCTTAAATGAAATAAGTTCAAAAATGAACAGTTGAGGAAATAACAAGTTCCTATTTGTAATCAAAGGGGTTTTGATGTATCTTGGTATATTACCCAATAGATGCTTACAACAACAAGAAAACACGATGCAATGAATGAATTCCATACATTAACATACCTTAAATAAGAGACAGGCAAAGTTGATTTCTGTATCAGGATCATCAGGTGGACACTGTTCTACCAAGCTCTACAATTTTACATCAATCAAAATAATAATATTGAAATGGACATAAAATGTAATAAAATAAATTAAGTTCTTATTTAGCAAACCAAGTTGTAAATTTAGCAAGCCCATAACATTTCTAAATAATAGTAAATAATATAAATACTAGAGCCACACGTGGCACAGAGTGGGACTTTGCAAATGTAGCAATTTGCTAAAGACCTTGAAAAAATCAACCTTCAACGATAATTAGGTCAAGTGCAAGAACAGTCTAAAGTTGAGAAATTTTTATTATTTAACAGATTCTAATACCGTAGACGCCAGACCTCACAAATGAAAGTATCAGCAGATAGACAAGGCCAATGACCTTTGATATAAGTCATCAAAGTTTCAAATTGCACACGGCTATAAAATACAGGAAATATAAAACTCCAAATAGATAGCCAATGCCAATGACGTTTGATCCTACAAAGGTCAAGGTCAACAAAGGTCAAGGTCAAAAATTGAAAATTTTGAATTTCCAAAACCTGTTCCCTTTTTTGAAATAAGAAGCGGAAATAACCGAACTTCTCAGACAAAGTGGCTCAAAATATGAGGTAATTGTATGCAAAGTTCCATTTTGAACAAATGTACATTTTGCGAGTTATGTTCCTTGCCAAAAATGTCAATAATGAGTAATTTAACCCGGATGTGCCACGCCCACCTCAATTTCCTTTGCAAATGTTAATTGATATTCAAAATATGATGTTGTGTTTTCAAATTTCAAGCTTCTACATCATACAGGTCAAAAATTATAGGTCAACAAAATTCAAAAAAGGACAAAATCGGAAATTGAAAATATGGAAATTCTAAAACCCGTTCCTTTTTTGGAACTATAAAGCTGAAACAACTGAGTTGTTAACACAAACTGGCCAAAAGGATGAGGTAATTGTGTGCAAAGATCCTTTTTGAACAAACGCATCCTATGCAAGTTACGCCCATGTCTCTAAATGTAAACAATTAGTAATTCAACCCGGATGTGCCACGCCCACAAAACTTTTTTTTTGTCATAGGTGAATTCATATTCAAAGTGTCTAGTGGTTTTCCAAATATCAAGGTTCTGCATCAAATAGATCATAAGATATACATACATCAAGCTCAAAGAGACACAAATATTGTAAAAATACCCTCAAATTTGAAAAAATCACGAATTTCAATTTTGCTTTAAAAGACGATTGTTATATATCAATGTAAAGTGCATGAGAAGCACATTAAGAAACCGAAAAAATTAACCCTCTAGGTTAATTAGGTCACGTGCTACAGCAGTCCAAAGTTGTGAATTTGGCTTTTTACGGACAGCTATAAAACCGGAAGTTCATGTCTGAGGTCAAATGTCAAAGTATCAACTGATAGCCAAGGTCAATGACCTTTGACCCTATAAAGGTCAAGGTCATCAAAGGCCAAGGTCACGTGGTGTGAGCATTTAAAGTTTAAAAAAATTTCAACCGGAAGTTGCAAAAAAGCAAAAGCGAAATTCAAAATTCGGCTCCCAATGTTTTTTGTTTTTACTGCAATCGATTGCAGAATACATTCACATCAAATTTGAGCATATCAATATTTACCCTAGGCCCCATTTTGAGTTTTTTTCAAAAGTGTGTTTTTTCAATATGGCTGCCAAAGCATCACTTCCGGTCTGGATTTTTTTTTCTTCGTTTTTTTATAATAGCACTTACTTACGATCAGCATAAATTTCATTGACCTATTTCAATTACACCGGAAGTTATTCGACGGGAAGTGGATTGTACTTTTAATTGATTCCCCATTTAAAACCGGAAGTAAAGTTAAATATTTGACAAGTACATATTATTTACTTTAGTGATGCCCCTTTGCATATTAAATTTCAGATCAATCGATGCAAAAACAAAAAAGTTGCAAAAAAATTGAAAAATTTGATCGAAAAAAGTGTGCTTATTTTGCAAGTGCTATCAGGTCAGAAATTACAGGTAGATTGTAAAAATGAAAATCGATGCAAATATGCGCCTTCTAGAGCCGATTTTCGACTTTTTGCACATGTTGGACTGTGGCACTTCCGGTATTGCAAAAATGTTCCAAAATATATTTATGCAACACATCCCCAGTACAGAAAGTTGAGGAAAGTTGCTGCAGCTACTGCAGACTAGGCTCAGGAAGGTGTGTAAAAAAAAAGCAAAAAAAAAAAAAAAAAAAAGAAGGGACATTTGCAGAAGCAAAGTCCCACAGTAAATATATGAACAGAGAATATGTTTTATTATTGTAGGTATTTAAATATTATACTGATGAATATAACCAACCTTGGCAGCTGGTAAATCTTCTTCACCATATTTTATAGCTGATTGTAGTTTAGTTATCTATAATTACATATAAACGTATCTTAGTTTAACAGTTTTAATAAATGAAATGAGTTCTGTTCTACTTTTAAACAGTTTTTCTGGTTGTAAAGAAAGACAAAATGTAAATTTACAGCAGAGATCAAGTGTAGAGTTTCTTTGACAGTACAAATGATTAATATTAATCTGTTTTGTTGTTATATTTACCAGAGACTTTACATGTCCATTCTCAAAAGCTTTTCATTCTGCTTTTCCACAACTCAAATTTAAACAAGAACATCTCAAACTTATAATAAAATATATCCCCTCAAACTGTTCAAACAACATGCAACAAAACAGATTGAAATCAGCCTAATATTATTTTGTTTATCCAGAATAAAAATCCAGTTTCTGGTTCCCCTTCAGGACAACAAAAAAACAGACCAAGGCTCAGAATTTTATCACTTCAAGAGCTTATTGCAGTTAGATATGCAAATAGGGCTCTATGAGTAGGTCAAGCATATATTTCAATTTCAGTTATCAAATAACTTCTGAAACTGTGAGATTTCAATTAAACTTTGAAAAAGGAACCAATTAAAGGAACTTAAATACAAAACAAATAAAAGTGAAATATTTAATAAAACAAATATTGCCTTCAATTTTGTTAAAGGATTGTAGTACATTCTTGTCAATGGTATATCTTCCTAAAAATTAATCAACATACATTGTAAACAAACACTTTAAAAGCATTATGTTCTTTTCTTTTATTTTCTGTCAAACTTGAGTCAATTCTAAAGATTTTTATTTCTCATAATTTCAGATCACGTTTAAGCTGAAAAAGAATTGTAAAGAGGTGTCCTAAACTTTTTACTTTTACCTTTTATAGGTGACACTTACTGGAACCTTTTTATTTACTTACAAAAAACTAATAGTAGCTATCTCATTAGATATCATTAGCAGCATTTGTTATTGTGACCTCATATTATGAGGCTCATAAAAAGCTTAGTTTTAGTATCGCAAAAACAACAGATTGAATGTAATAGAAATGGTGTCCCTGATACATATAAAAAGTTTAAAATCCCTTTAAACACCTATAATAGACAGCACTAATCATAAAGACTTACCATTCCTTGATATTCAGGATTATCTATCTGACAGGCTACCTTCATAGCCTCTTGATAAAGATTAGTTTTATACAAAGATTGAGCAAAATACAACTGATAGTCTTCATTGTCAGGGAACAACACAGTCAACTGTTCATAACAATCTGATGCATTCACAAAATCTTGACTTTGAAAATAACAATATCCCAATAAGGATAAAGCTGGTCTAGACTGAAACGAAACATTGATAAGTCATAATCGCACAAACTGATACAATTTTGTTGTGTCCTACAACTATTTCAGTGTTTCAGAAATAAAACAGGAAGGGTACCAGCAATCCGACATTTATAAATATACATGTATATATATATTCTCCCCCCTTTTTACTAACTTTATTGGTATTTATTTTTTTAGTGTAATAAAAGCACAAGTGTAGATCAATAAAGCTTTAAGAGAATATTTGATCACTAAATTCAACTGGATCAATCATATACAGCAATGTTACCTTCGGATGGCTTTGTAACTGATGACTTAAAATCTGAATAGCTTCATGATATCTTTGATCTTTAATCTGGAATAAAAGACACAATCATGATACTTGACCAAAACATCTGCCTCTGATAGCAATTTAAACAGTTGTATAAATCCCAGTCTTTGTTCAAAACATCATCATACATTTGTAAGACCGTGTTTGCGGACAAATTTTTTATCATGAAGACGACTTTCCCAACAATGTTGAACATGGTAAAACATGTTCAAATTCTAGCTGCATGTTTCATCTTCAACAACTGTTGGCAATATTTAAATTCGTTTTTAACAAATTAGCAGTCGAATACACATCAATTGACTGACTCCCCATGTGACTTTGCTTTCAAAATAGCAGCCGACACGGATCAAGTATGAACAGTGATTACAATACATCTCATAAATGTAACTTTGTAAGTAATAATATCACCCAGACCATAGCTTCATCAAGGCGACTATGTCATGCCAAATTCGATGAAAAAAAAATATAAATAACATAACAGGATCCTTATATAATCCGATAAATCCAAAAAACTTAGTAATTATCCATAAATGTGCAAAAAATATTGAAAAACGCTTAATAAAATATCAATATTAAAATAATACTACACCTTAGAATGAACATAAAATTTAAGTTCTCGAAATGGTCAAGATGAGTATACAGTCAAGTAACCTAATTCCATGGAAACCTATTTTTCGTGGATTTCCAGAAATGTTTAATAATTTACATGAGCGACCTTGAGCGACCTCCGCATTAGCTTGTTTTGATAAACATGGGTTATCTCTACAATATCAGCTAGTAATATGAATCCAGTAGTTTCAAGCAAGGTAAATGTATTAATGTATACTTTGACAAATACAAAATGGCAGATTTCAGTTATTACCAAACGTCACCAGTTTTTATCGGCTGAATTTCCTTATAATCCCAGGCGGTAATCGGAATTCCAAGTGTTGTCTGCTAGAATGTAGTCCAACGAATGAAGTCACGTGATCAACTAGCGGATTCCGTGTCAGCAGAAAATTTCTATGGAACACAAAGTGGACCATATTCTTATGTTGTTTCAGTGACTTTTAGCAATAAATCACGCTACGTATCTTATTTTGTCAGTCACTATTTTTTTTTAATATCGTGGTTCTTTGAAGGAATTGTCACTTATTTGATATTAAAGATAAATACTAAGAGAAGTTAATTATACCACCCGGTATCCATACAACGTGTTTTTCTAGACTTATTTATAGATCAAACATTGTACACGAAAATAGGTGACGCATTCTGCCGCCATTGCCGAGTTGGTTGCTCATGAAATATGGGTCAAAGTGAAGGATTCATAAGGAAAATCGAAATAAACCAATTTTAATTATTTTGTAGAATATCCGAGGAAACATCTAAGACTTAAAAAAAAATTTTTTTTGTTAACTTTGACGAAATTCGGTGTTGAATCCTTTTATCCATGAAAATAGGTTACACCACTGTATATCCATCAGTGAACTTACCTGGTGTCATAATAAAGTCACAACAGAATCCCTGTAAAATTGATATTCAGTGTTTTTCAATAGTTAATAGCATATTTATTTAGTTACTTAGTTTTATGAATTTTCCAATTTTACAGGGATTCTGTTGTAACTTTATGACACCAGGTAAGCTAACTGATCCTCATATTGACAATTTCGAGAACGGAGAACTTAAATTTTACGTTCATTCTTCTAAGATAAGACGTAGGCCTAGTATCACTTTAAATATAGTAAAAAAAAAGTTCAAACCTACCAAACCATAAACTGTTGACGTATATTCTCCCTCTTTTGGTTGTAAGTGAGCCATATCCAACCTAAAATTAGACTGCAAATGTATCTTAAGGTGAAATTTGTTTCTCTGGTTAAATATTTAGACTTGACACAGGTTGTTTACTGGTTGTTGTTGACATTTGCAATGGAATTCACCATATACGCATGTCCAAGAAGAGCTAAAGAGGGGACGATACTCTACTAAAACATTCAGACAGCAGCAAACTTTTACAATTCGCTGCAGACCCGTCAATAGAGTTACGGTTCTTATCTTATTGAAAATTCGTCACAATGCGTTTAAACGGTACCGTTTCGATCAATTACTTTCGTGTAAACGTTTACAGAAAGTGCTAAACGTTGCAGCCTTATGTACCAATCGTTCAAACTTCCTACATACCCCTAAAAAATAGCAAAATTTGGAGGTCAACCAACACTCTTCAACAAATTTCTTAGACAGTTTGAAACCCAAAATAGTTCAGTATAAAACCTCAGACGATGAAAAATTGACATATTTGGAACAATATACGTATGGTCAACCAAACAGCAGACTACAGTCATTTAGATGCAAAAATTGGATACCCTGCAGCATTAAAGGATCTGAAAAAAGATATGGTGACGGTGGGTTCGTTTTGCTGCATTGCCCAACTTGCCGCATCGTGCCCAACTGCACAAAAACGACTTGTAAAACGAAACTAAAGGTTTCTGATAAAATCCGGAATGGCCATTTGGTGTCCGGCATCGATCTTTATACGCCCACATCTCTCTATGTGGACGTATATTGTCGGCACCCCCGTCCGTCCGTCCATCAACATTTGCTTGTAAACGCTCTAAAAACTACATTTTTTGATGGAATCAAATGAAACTCGGTTTGTGTATACATATTCATAAAACGAAGATCATTTTCGAATTTGAGCTATTTTCGACCGTCAGAAGCAGAGTTATTGCCCTTGCCCCAAAATCTTGAATATCTACCATCCGCATGCCGTGGTGGGCGCATATGGCTGTGGTCCACTATCTAATTTTTCTTTTTTCTACAAAATCGCAGGTTCGTCGATTTTTGGAGTTAGTAGTGTGGAGCCAATCAACCCCAGCTTCTACCAGGACATTCTGCCAGGATATTCTGGGACTTAGCTGGAACCAGTGGGGGTTAAGCCACTGCCGAATTATAGAGCACATCGAATACGAGAATTTTAAACTTCTCCTCGCTTGATAATTCTGATTTACTCTTCAGAAGATTTTCACTTTCAGACATTTCAGTTGCCATTTTTTCTAGCACGAGGGTGACATTATTGGCACACAGTAGAGGGACATAACTCTTGCAAGTTATTACCAAATTTATTTATTGCACTTGTCTTGTTTCGTTTTATGGATTTATGTATTTTGTATTACGGTTCTGATCGTTTGTACTTGGTATTTATATTCTTCCAGATTTTACCATAAAACTATAGTTTCGATTTCCCTAACAGGTCCAAATTATACATAATAACAGATTAAAATATTTCGTTTCATGTAAAAAATGGCCATTCCGGATTTTATCAGAAACCTTTAGTTTCGTTTTACATGTCGTTTTTGTGCTATTGGGCACGATATGGCAAGTTGGGCAATGCGGCAAAACGAACCCACCGCTGTGGTGACTCTGATTACATGCCCGATGCTTATATAAAGAAAGTTTTGAACACAGATCATATACAATACGGAGATCCTGTCAAACTGGACGAATTTGGAATAATTTTGGCTGAATGTTGTAATGCAATTTCAAGCATAGATACCTACAGAGCTTTAGAAAACGTACACAACATGCAGATTTTAGTCGGAAAACTACCTACCAACTTACAAGAAAGATGGCTAACGATGCTTCACAACAAGAAAAGGAAAGCAACCTTTGAATTAATTGTCACCTTTGTAAAGAAGAAGCAAAGAAAGCCAACGACCCCATCTTCGGAAGAGTCGCCATGTCACAATATGTCGCACCAAAATCTGGATCTAAAATTCAACCTGTATCGAAACCATCATGGAACAAGCCAAGATCAAATGGAACCTATGCTTCAAATCTAACAGATGAACAAGGCTTGAACAAAGAAACTTCTGCTTATTGCCAGAATGGACATTTTTTTTAGGGGTATGTAGGAAGTTTGAACGATTGGTACTAAAATGGTACATGATGAAAAGATCAACTTTCTCAAAGGAAAAGGCTTTTGTTATGGATGTCTTAAAAAAGGTCACAGGAAATCCAAATGTAGAAACAGATTGAATTGCGAGAAATGCTCCATGAACCATCCTTCTATTCTTCGTCCAGACGTTAAGCCTACGTCACTGAAGGAGAATATACCGGAAAACCCACCACACGAAACAAAGATGACAACTTCTGCAAGTACAATAGATAGTAGTCCCATGGGAGCCGGTGACCGACTCGAATGCACAATGGTTATCATTGCAGTTAAAGTTAAAACTAAAAATGGTCTTCATCTTAAAGACACCTATGACTTATTAGACCCAGGAAGTAATGTATCTTTTATAAGTTCCCATTTGCTATGGGATCTAGGAATACAAGGAACATCTACGTAAATCAAATTGGAGACGATGGGAAACATTGTTACCTTAGCATCTGAGATAGTTAAGGACTTAGAGATTTATAGTCATGACTTATCTGACAGAATTAAAATTCCTAAATTGTACTCCAAGGATAAAATGCCAGTTAATGAACGACACATACCCACTTATGTTGAACATTGGGATCACTTGAAGAATCTACCAATTCCTCATCCTGATTGTAAAATTGGCTTGCTAATTGGAAATAATATACCTGATGCCTTTACACCTAAAAGGGTTATTACTGGACCAAGAAATAGTCCGCATGCAGCACTGACTGCACTTTGTTACATTTTGTGGAATGTTATCATATACACCGACCAAGCAAGACGAATTCAACGTAAACTTCATCGATGTTGTCTCAGAAAACGAAAACTTGAATCAGCTGGACAGAATGGTCAGATTGTCGACGTCGTTTGACTTTCCAGAGAAACTCTCCGACGAGAAACAAGAACATTCTATACAGGATAAACGATTTATTGAAATGGTGGAAAGTTCGATCAAACTTAAGGATCAACACTGCGAAATTGACCTACCATTTAAAGACAAGGAAATCGTCTTACCAGACAACAGAGAAATGGTTCTGAAAAGACTAACCAGCCTTCGATCAAAGTTAAAACGAAACAAGGAATTCTATAATGGTTATCTGAAATTCATGACTACAATTCTTGATAAGGGCTATGCCGAACAAGTCCCTCCAGAAGAACTTGACCAATGCAATCCAAAGAAATGGTATATCCCTCATCACGGCGTCTACCAGAAGAATAAACTTAGAGCCGTGTTCGACTGCTCAGCCAAGCATCAAGGAGTCAGTCTCAACGAAGTCTTGATTGGTGGTCCACACTTAGCCAATGATTTAGTTGCTGTTTTACTTCGCTTCAGACTAGGGAAGATTGGAATAATGGGTGATATTGAAGCTAATATGTACCATCAAGTCAAAGTACCAGTCAAGGACAGAGATAGCCTAAGGTTTTTCTGGTGGAGAAATGGAAATCTTGAGAATCATCGAATCATCAGAATATAGGATGTCATCTCACTTATTTGGATCCCCTGCTATAGCCAACTTTGCATTACAACGAACTGCCTTAGATTTCGAAAACAGATTCAACAAAGAGGTAAGAGACACAATCTTACTTAATTTCTACGTGGATGACTGCCTGAAATCGGTTGACGAAAAAGCGTCTGCTATCGAACTGGTCAAGAAATTGAAGGAAGTTTGTAGGCTGGATTCAACATACATAAATGGATCAGCAACGATAATGAAGTCATGAATTCGATTCCCGCATCCGAAAGAGCCTTATCCATGCAACTGTCTTTTGGAGATGATGACTCCATAATGGAAAGGCCGTTAGGAGTAAATTGAGTAAACTCACTTTTAAGATAGACATTGAAGACAAACCGAAAACAAGAAGAGGTCTGTTGAGTGTAATCGCTTCCGTCTTCGATCCACTTGAACTTCTAATATTACACGAACAGACAAAATATTCTGGCAATATTGAAGATGGATCATCCAAGATATATAAGGGAAAACAGATGACGAAGCTAGATCCTTGCGTACTTGTACTTTCAACCTCCGGTGTACTCTCCTCTGAGTTTAGACATTGCATTTCTGGATCATCTTCTTCAACATCATCTTCTGGGAGATTATCCCTTTGTACAGACTGCTCCTTGTCGATGTCCTCGACCCTTTCTGTAGGTGGTACCTGTCCTACATCCTGAACCGCCGCCTGTACTCCTTGTACCGGTAATTGCCTCTCCATAATGATGTCTTCTTCATCGCTACTTGAACTTGTTTCTTGTAGACTGTCTCTTCTGTCCCTCACATGAATATCGCTTCCTTCTCCCACATGAATGTCGTTTGCTAAAGATTTTGAGTCTTAACATCTCTTTCCTGTGGACTGTTTTAGGTGGTCCTCCTTCAAGTGGTTCTACAACATATTCGTTGAAGTCTTTCTTCTCAATGACTCTATATAGTGTAGGATTCCATATATCTTGAATTTTATGTCTGCCGTGGATGTGATTTCTTAGGAAAACTCTTGATAAAATTTGAATTGGTTTATTTCTAGAATTGCTGTTGATCCTATATTATCGCTTCAGTGCTTCTCTCTCTGTTCTCTCACTGACTAGTCTGTTACAGTGTTTATACATACACTGGAGTAGTATATGAGCTTATACATAGGTCGCATGGGGATTCCCCATTCCATTTCATTTCATGGGGAAAATGCGACCTATGTATAAGCTCCCAAAAAAGACCTAAACTCCCTACATTTCATAAATTCTTACAGCAAAACATCCTACATTTAATAAAATTCTTACATTAAAAAAGACCTAAAACACCTTCAATCAATTTCCTACATTCCATCAAAAAAGCATATTAAAAATACCCTTATATAAAAATTATATCCTTGTTTCGCTTAACATCCGGTTTTTAATAGCCTCGTTTTAAATAATATTATTTTTAAGGGAGATAACTCTTGTTTTGGAGAAAAAAAACCAGACCACAATTTCTTCGTTAAATTAACTCATTTAAAAATAGGATGAGTTTAATTCTAAAACACGAACAACACAGATTCGAAGATTATTCGGGCGACGGTATCTTTTCTTCATTATTTTCTCTAGGTAAAACAATAATTCCAAAAGTAGCTAGCTTTATTTCAAAAAACAAATCACTCATTTCAACCGGAGCGAAAGCCATCGGCTCAATCGCGGAAGCGGGAAAGAGTATAAGCGACACAGTGAAACAATCTAACGAGTTGAAAGAATTAGAGCTAATAAGAGAACTTCGAAACAGGAGATTAGAAGAAAGGAAAGGAAAAGGTTTTAAAGTTATAGGATAAAAATGATTGTCGCTCACGCTCCAAAAACTTATATTCTTACATCAAAACATCCTACATTTCATAAAATTTTACAGCAAAACACCCTACATTTCATAAAATTCTTACATTAAAAAAGACCTAAAACACCTTGAATCAATTTCCTACATTCCATCAAAAAAATCATATTAAAAATACCCTTATATAAAATAATGTAGAAGGGAGATAACTATTGTTTTGGAAAAAACAATTTTTACTCAAATTTTAAACCCTAAAAATGACAAATAAAATACTAGATCCAATCTTTAAATTATACGATCCGATTCGTTATTCGTTTTAACAAGAAAAAAGAGGATTATATTATCATCTCACCGAATGTTGGTTCTACATCCCATTTGAATGATGGTTGTAGAATTACCCTCGAAATAAATTCATTATCGAATTGGTTGCTTCTTTCAGATGCTTATTTCAGATGCCATTTCAAAATTAAAGATGGAACTCAGAATCAAGTTCCTCAAACTAATACAACGTTAGAAAACAATTTATTTCCATCTTTATTTAGCGAGATGGTTTTGGAAGCTGGTTCAAATCCGATAGAAACAATCAAACACCCTGGGGAATTCGACACAATGTTGAAAACAGTTTTATATCCTAAAGATTTCGATTCAGTCTCAGGTTGGATACCCGATGTTGGTGATGGAAGTGTTTTAAAAGAACCAGTAAGATTTTGCACTTAATCATCCAATCTTCTGTTTTGATCTATCAGCTCACCAAGAAGATCTTTTCAAAACAGGAGTGAATATAAAATTCATATCGAAAAAACACAAGGAGATGTAACAGGTTATTGTTTATTATTGGAAGAAGCAAAACATTTAATTAAAATAGCAGATAGAAGAATGATAAGAATTGAGTAAAAAATACACCCTTAAAAATAAAACCAGAAACTTTAGTTATGAAAATAATAGAAGCTATTGAAACAGCTTCACCAGCTGTAATAACTTTCAACGGTAAAAAAATCAGCATAACTAAAAAACTTATTGATAAATACAAATATTGTAAAGTCAGAGACGATATAGATTTAGAAAGAATTGAGGCGAACGCAAAAGAAGGTGGATTTTTACCTTTCCTTCTACCTTTAATATTTGGTGGTATTGCAGCGGCGGGAGGAATATCTGCCGCAGTCAAAGCTGCCAACGCAAAGAAAGCAGCTGATGCTAAAGCCGCTGAAGAACGCAGACATAATTTAGCAATTGAAAAGGAGGCACGAGGTACAGGAGTGGGAGAAATGATAGGCACAATAAAAGAATTTGGAAAAAGATTTGGGGAAGAAACCAAGAAAACTGTTAAACAAGGATTAAATAAATTAGTAGATAGTATTGACACGGGAGAAGTCAAAGTCAAACATAAGGGTAATGGAATATTTTGTAAAAATATACACACTGGAGAAGGAATATTTCTTTCAAAGTATAAAGGAGAAGGAGTGATTTTTGGAACAAATTAAAAAAATAAAAAATGGGCAAAAAATTTAATCATTCAGAAATAATTCCTAATAACCCATTGCTCATGTGTATATGCGGTAGTTCCGGTTCTGGGAAAACTCATCTCACTTTTAACATGTTGACAACACCAAACCTTTTAGATTACGATTCTTTGTATATCTACACAACAGCACCAGAGCAATCGTATTATCAATTTCTCAAAGCTTTAGAATATCTACCAAAGAAAGATGTTCAAGACCTATTTCAATATTACGAAGAAAACGAAGAAGAAGTGGAAATAAAGGATATCTTAGATAACTACATCGAAGGAAAGAAACCAACGGATATAAAAGTTTTTCTTACGAAAAATGTTAATGATCTAGACTTGTCTAATATTGATAGCAAACGAAAGAACTTAATATTGTTTGACGACTGCGTAGCGCAAAGAAATCAAGCTGTTCAACAAGAATTCTTCACGAAAGGAAGACATCACAACTGTCACTGCATATACCAATCTCAATTTTTTTATGGGATGGATTCTATGTTTATTAGAAAAAATGCAAATTGTTTTTTATTATTTGAATTAAACGATAAAGATTTATCTCAAATCATTCAGTCGATAAATCACGGAATGGACGGAGATGCATTTAAAAAGGTTTGTAAAGCTCAATGGAAAAACCCAGATGAACATGGATATATATTCGTTAATACTAGAAAACCTGCAGGTGAAAGAGTTATGACAGACATTTGTTAAATTTTATTTTTTTAAAAATGGATAATTGGAATAATATTTTAAAAAGAAATAAAGAATATATCAAAGCTAAGAATGAAATAAAGACCCAAGTTGAAAATAATAGATTACAACAACTCGGATTAACACAAAATCTACAAACTCTATTTCAACCCATATCAAAATCTCAAGAGGATATTGAAAGGAAATTAGAATATAAACCTCCTATAGAACCTCATATAGAACACCCCAAAGCAATTGAATATGATGGTATTATAATTAGGACATTAGATGATATAAATCGTCTTTTTTTAAACCCTAACCCAGATTTACCAAAGATCATTTCACCAATCGTTGATAATCAAGGTTTATAGAATAATATTTAGTCCAAATTCCCCTTTATTTAAAATCGATACAAAAGATTACATATACACATTAACGAGAGGATTAATAGATTTAATGAATGGTGAAGATGTTGGTATTGCCGATTATAAGGATTTAGTAGCATACTCAAACTTTCTAGATGCAATAAGAAAGTCAGGACCCGAAACAAGACGATCGAAAGAAGTTAAACTATATATAAGAGTAATTGAACGTGATGAAGACGGTCTAGGTGATTATGCAGAAGAGTATCCACCAATCACACAAGAAATAGACGAATTCGATGATATGGTGGCATCTGGAGAAGGTATAACGTTTTTATCCGATAATAATGAAGAATTGCTTAATAGATTACGAGTAATACTAGCGGCAATGAAGGAAGGACATCGATCGCACAGACAATATAATGAAGTAAATTGTATACTAAAAAGACTCCTAGAAAAAGGTATCATAGATAGAAATGATTATAAAAGTGTGATTAAAAATGTCAAATAAAGAACAACTATTCGTCCTCACCTCAAATAAATCAGACATTAAATTGTCTCTAAATTATGAGTACGAACTCGATCGCAATCAAGAATATGAATTGGGATTAAAGTATTTTTCTGTTTACAATTCCATTAGAAATATCAACGAAAAAAATAATCAAATAAAAATATCAACAGATAACGGAGTTACGTTCAAAACCATACGTTTACTACCAGGAAGCTATGAATACATAGCCATTAACGAATACCTATCTGAATATGGAGGAAGTGTCAATGGTAAAAACAATATTGAATTCGAAGGTAATTTGAATCTGAACAAAATAAAATTGATATTAAGAAATAATAGTCAAGTTGATTTCAACGTAGAAAATTCATTGAATACGTTACTAGGATTTGATAAAACGAGTATACACCCAATCCACTTTAGCACCACACAAAGCTAATATCGAGAATGATATCGATATCATAAATATACATTGCAATTTGATAAACGGTGGATTTTTCATTAAATACAATTATTTACAGTCTTCCAACATTCACTGTACCGATAGGATATAGAATTATAGAGAAACCATTTCAAACGACGTATTTACCACTTAATTCCTTTATGATTAAAGATATAAATCTGGAAATCAAAGATGGTAAAAATAGGTTTATAGATTTTGGTAACGAGGAAATTGTTATTCAACTTCATTTAAAATAAAAAAATTAACACTCTTCATTCTCTTCTTGAATAGTAAGGTAATCGAAATCATCAAATTCGTAGTTTTCATCCAAGCACATCTCCTCTTTATCACTGTAAGGATACATGATTCCTTCATCGTCCGGTGCTTTTCTCTTTATGAGATTCAGATAACTTCTAAATTTTTTAGTTTGTTTTTCATTAGGAATAACTATTCCATCAGTAAAACTCTTCCCCCATGGTTTATCAAACTCATTCGTTACGTCATGTCCACTAGCTAATTGAATATAATCCTCTACCTTAATCTTATAGTTAGAATAACCCTTAAACGTTTTCTTTTCTTTTAGAATACCGTCGGAAGTTAGAATGATATTGTATTTAACTTTTGGCGCTAAATATAAACCAAATATGATTCCACCATCACCATAATCATTCTTTCCTTTGCAATATTCATTTTCGGACACCAACCCAGCTTCATTTAATTTATTCCAATTGCTAGACGAAATGTATAAACTATCGGTATCCGTATAGTATATTTCTGGTTTATAAAAACCATCTATAACGTGAATAAAATTATTCATTATTTTTTTACTGTGAGATAATATAAATGTACCTAAATGAGTGGGTGTTAATCTCGTAAAATCCTTTGGAGGAACAAATTCTTTTTCTTCTTCATTTATCTCAACAATCTATTGAATCTCATTTAGTTTGTCATACTTCTTGACGTTTTTGTCGTAATTAAGGCGGAAGGTTTCTTCATTCCATAAATGCAATGAGGTATTTCTATCCCTCTGAATAGATTTACCATATAAGGAATTACCTAATAACTTCATACAGTTACTGGCAACCAAATCTCCTTCCTTTTTGTATTTATTCCTTTATTCCTTCAAAATTATAATATAATCTCTATAGGGTGGAGTTTTAAAATTTTCTTTGTAAACTATACTATCTAATATTTTAATAATTCGTCCACCGGCTTTCACTATTTCTTGAATATCGACCGATGTTAAAACATCTGAACAGAAACCATTTCTGAATCTGATTTTAGTGCCAGTTTCCTTTTTACCTATTCTATTCGTGAAAGTGATTTTATCTTTAGCTGGTATCGGTTGGAAGAACATGTTTTTGGGATATTCAAACCAGACTTTTAAAATAGCAGTTCTAGGTCTGAATTTCTGTTCATTAAAGAGCTTAACAAATTCTTTATTTTCTTCTGGTAGAAACGCTATTGCTTTTGGATATTCACCTTCTGTCATAGCGGAAGCGTACAAGCCATTAGCGTCAAATGCCATCAGTTTAGTACATTTTATTTTTTTAAGTCTCGAATGAACTTCCGTTTTATCTTTCGTGCTAGCGCTGTATTCTTTAAATAAATCTATTATTCCTTCAGTGTCACTTTTCACAAATAGCACAAATTTCATCCATTTTGTTCGTTTCAAATAATTTTCTGTTAGCAGAAACTCTTCCTCCTTTAATACTTTGTCTGATAAAAAATCTTATAAAAGGATGAGTATGTGAGTAAACCTTTTCTACGTTTTCTTTTTCGGTGTGTTTCGGAACCATTCTAGTACTTTCGTACCATTCTTCTTCATCCATTTCTTTATCGTAATTATATAAATAATACCAACCCTTTAAAGATAAAGGAAGACAGTTTTGGAAGACAGTTTCTTTCATTGCTTGATTGTATTTTATCAAACAAGCTCCGAGACATAACGTATCTCTTTCAGCGTAAGGTTTCCATTCGTGTCTTAAAGATTCCCAATTATCTTTGGTGTATTTTGCAATATTGATATCGGCAATCTTTCTCGAATTCATCGGTAGATTAGACGAATTTCCCCATGCCGCCAAACTAGATTTTTCATGTTGATAGGAACAAGTGAGACATATATTTTGTAAATATTTATTTTTATCAGATATTTTTATCTCTCCTTTCTCTTTTCTCTCTCTTTTCCATTTTTTCTGCAATCTTTCTTCTGTATATGGATTAGATAAAGGAAGAGATAGAATTTTATTATCTGTTACTAGTGGACATTGTGTTAGTTTATTAATGCTTTGAAGTGCAATCCAGTTGTCAAAACCACTCCCGTTATGGGAAATTAAGGTTAATCTTTTTTCATCTACTGTACTTAAACGACGTATCATCTGATCGAAACAATCTGTTCCTACAAATATTTCTACTATATGAGTCATGAGTTTGTTGTAAAATTCTTCTAGAATGGGATTAGTTGGCTTTAAATCTGGGAATAGTCTTTTAATTAGTTCTAGTTTTTTCCTTAGTTTTTCCAATTTGAATAAAGTACAACAATAAGGAATGGCTTTATTTTCGCTATGGGTTTCGCAATCCCACGCGTATAAAGTATCATCATGAGGTGAAATCACGTTTAGTTTTAACTGAGCAAAACATGTTAGTGCATCATCATCCCCACAGGTTCTCCATACATTTTCATCGTAATTATTTTCTATTTCTTTAATGATTAAGGTTTTGTTATTTCTTCTTATCAAACAGAAATGTTCTTTGTGTAAATAAAATACCCAATCTAATTCTTCGGATACTTTCTTTGGTTGAAAATGTCTATGTTTGGACATATAAATTTGAAAATAAGTATTAAATTTCTTATTGAATTCAGAGATTCTAGCAGATGTCATAACTCCTTTTCTGTTTGAATTTTGAAAACTATTGACGAAATCTTGAAATTCTTTTGTTAAGTCTTTATTCATGAAGTGATTTACACACTTTATAAAACAATAACCATCGCTTGGTATGAAACAATTTTCGCCTTTGTATTCATTTATCTTTTTAAGTAAATTACCACCTCTGCCAGTTTTAGATCTTTTTACTATTCTAAAATTATTTTGGCGGAAAATAATCTCTCCTGTAAAATACCAATCAGATGCGTCAGATTTATCATGCATCTTTGAATAAATAAACTGGAAAGTTTGAGCATTGAATTCAGATAATCTCATGTCTTGTCTATATTTCCCCACTTCATATATTTGACCATTTATTTCAATTTGACCTTTAATTTTAAAATCCTTAAACAGAATACTTATTCTCTTGATTAATTCTGAAAAAAGCATATTTGTGGTTGATATTTTAATTTCATTCTCCTCTTCTTTACAAATTTCGGCTGTCCTATCAACTAGATATTTAAATTTTTCTTCATCTTCTTCGTAAAATTTACGCGAAAATAAATTAGGTATTGCCTTGAATATCCTTGAAAAAAGTGTTTTAGATAGAGGTTTGTTTAAACTTTCAATTTTATCCATTTTCTTTTTTAAGTATCTATTTTTAATTAGGAATTTTTAACTTTTATTGATGATATTTCTACATCAAATTTATCTAAAATTTCATTGAATTTTTCTAATTCTTCAACTGTTATGTTCTTGTCTTCTCTCGATCTTTCGAAAAAAATGAATAATTTATTAAGATATGTATTTAAAATTTCTGTTTTCTTTTTATAATGAGCTTTCTGTTTTGATGTAAAACCTAAAGTAATCAATCCACAAGATGAAGTTTGAACGGCAGTAAACGCGGCTAATACAGTTGGGACAATTATTGGCAGCATTAATCCACCGGTTACGGCTGTTGCCACCGTTATCCCTACTGTTAGAACTGTACTTAATGCTTTCAAAACAGAATCAATTCTACTCCATGTTTTTCTACATTTGTTGAATTGTTTTAGTTTTTGTTATAGTTCGTTTTGTTTTTCTATCATATATTGTTGTCTACTTTCGAGTTCCATTTTTTAGGTTATTAATTTAAGTGAATTTCTGATAAAGCTACTATGTGTTTACTATCATCAATAATAACTTGAACAGATACTAACGATATTTGTTCTTTGGAATCATTAATCTTATTCAGATGAACTGATAATTTTGGTTTTCTAATAGAGATTGATATATTAACATATCCATTATCTCTTATTAAAATTTTTTGACTTTGTTGACTTTTATGAATATCAATTGAGGTAAATACATCATTAATAACAAAATATAGTTTTTGGTATTCAAATTCTGTTGCTCGTAAAAACTGATAAAAGCTTATACCTTTTTTTTGTGGTTCTGGATTTCTAGTAATATTCATTGATGGTAGAGTTTCCGTCTCCAATAACATATCAAAATGACTCAATGCAAATTCATCTTCTTCTTTATCTGGTATGATTAACATTCTAAACCTATCTATATATTTTCCACTCGTTTTAATTTCATGTAAGTGGTGAACCTTGCTGTTTTCGTCGTTAATTTCAAATTCTTTAGTTTCTACATTTTTTGTACCACTGATAAACTGAAGAACTTTACGAGCATTAAATTGATTAGATGAATGTGAGTTTTGTCTGAAGAATATTGAATCAACTTTTACCCGAACAGGAAAATTAATTTCAATTAAAGTTTTCCTCGGAAATTAAAAACTATTGGATGATAATATTCCTCATCTGAATCAAAAATATTTTTGGGATGAATAGTATATTTTGGAACAGAATATACTCTAATATTTGCTGTAAATCCATATCTTTTATATTCATAGTCTTTTGATTTATCAATGTTATTAGTAATAGAAGCACTACTAAAACCCAAATATCTAAATGGAAGATTGAAATAATATGATTCTTTCTTGAGAAACTTTTTTTCTAATGCGACTATATTTTTATCCTGTTTTAAAACTAGGTTATTAATAGTGGTTATCTGTTGTTGAATAACACTATCATCAATATTTTGTATTTGTTGATGAATATAGGTTTTGATTTCGCTATCATCTATGTTTTGTATTTGTTGTTGATTATAGGTTTTGATTTCGCTATCATCTATGTTTTGTATTTGTTTTTTAATATTTGTTAGGTCTTTTTGTAATTCACTGTTAAGTTTAGTTTCCAGAGCATTTAATTCCTGTTGAAACGTATCTTCATTTTCATCATGAATGTTATCTATTAATTGTTGAATGTCTAATTTTTGTTTTGCAATCTTATCCTCTAATTTAGATATTAATGAAATTAAATTTTGTAACTCAGTTTTATTCGCTACGTTGACCAATTCTTTTTGAATAAAACTTATTAATCTTTTTACCTCTTGTTGTGGTTAGTATCATTAACAAAATTTTTATTATTTAGTTGACGTTTGAAGAATCTTTTCACATTACTTATTTTTTTTTCTAAATGGTTTTTATTTACTTCAATTGAATTTATTTGTTCCCGTAAATATTTCTTGTGAACAGCGTCATTATCGTTTTCCGGAGACTTTAAATTAGTTATGCTAAAATTGTTCATATCTAAATCACCTTGAAGAGTGTCACCGATTTGATCCAGGAAGTAAGGTTTCGCTTTAGTGTTAGGTTTTTAGTTTCTAAAGATAAAGAACCTAATCCAAACTTGTTCGCTATTTTTATTGAGTTAAATTTATTACAATTTCTTCGAATTGTTTTCCTAAACTCAACTGATATAAAACTCAAAGAGAAAGCTGACCACAAAACTTTTGTCCCGGAAATTGAATTTGAAAGGAAGAACATTTGATTGGTTTATTAGTCAATTGCAATATCTCTTCAGTGGGTTCTAATCCATAAGAATCGAAGAAATATAAGTCAGAGTCTTTGTACAAAGCAGAATGATGAACTCCTTTTTGATCGGAAGTATGTATATTTGTTATAGCGTAAAATTTACCTTTCTTATATTTCAGATCATTTATTTCATCTCTCATACAATAATGAAACGATCATATATTTAACTCATTCGCCCATCTCATAAGTTGAAAGTTTGTGGTTGCATCGCTTCCATATTTATCGAGAAATTCATTCATTTTTAAAAGTCGGTTTTTTGAAGTTCGTTTTGATAAAACTTACCTATGATTTGTTCTTTGTCTTGATCGATTAATTCATATGTCGGAGGTGATGTGGTGTTTACTTTATCAACGATGAATATTTCGTTTGTGCAGTATCCAACGTAAACTTTTTCGAATTTGCTTTTATATTTGAAAATACGAACTCGATCTCCGACTTTAGATTTGGGTTTGATATTTAAATTCTTTATTTCATTTTCGTAGTTATGTTGCGCGTTAATTGACTTTATAATATTTGGATTACTCGAGGCTTGTGTTGGTGTGACACCTATAGATGAATGAATTTTGTTATTGTATTCATCTACAACCTCTGGTAATATTTTAAGCCATTTTTGAGATTTCAAGTCCGTGAACTTTTTAAATAATTTATTTTTTAGAGTCCTGTTAAATCTTTCTATTACTACAGCTTTACCTTCGTTATGCGTACTGTAAATTTCAAATCCCAGAGATTTCATATTTTTGTTATAAAATTCGCTTCATTTATCTACCCACAGTTTTTCTGGATGTCGGTTAGATTGTTTCATAATCGTTTCAAATGCGTGTTTGACTGATAATCCCGTTTTGTTTTTCAAAGGAATAACCCATACATATCTCGTATACAAATCTATAACTGTTAAGCAATATTTAAATCCTCTTTCGACTGGCATATGAATTAAATCGGCTGACCATATTTCATCTTTTTCAAACACTTTTACTTTTAAAAAGTTTTTAGTTTTCTAAATTCTTTGTGAATTTCAATCGCCAATCCCATGCCTAATTTCATCTTTGCTTTTAACAGTTTTATGATTAATGCTCTGTGCATTCTCTCTTTGAAAGTTGGATTTGGAATATTTTCGAGTTCAATTATCATTTGTCTGTCTGCTTCGTGTCTGAAGTTTATGTCTTTGTTTCTGTATAAAATATCATGTTTAAGCGCAGTGGCGTCAACTCTATTGACTGGTTCTTCCCCTGGTTTGGGTTTATCGTTTTCGTCTAATCGCAGATCTAACCTAGTACCTGGACCGATGTAATTATGACCCGGAAGATGTTTTTCTCCGGGATATTTCGCCCATGGAAATCCAGGAAGAGAACCCAATGATTTTTGTATATCTCCTGAACCGAAATAAGTTTTTGGAGCGTGAGCGACAATCATTTTTATCCTATAACTTTAAAACCTTTTCCTTTCCTTTCTTCTAATCTCCTGTTTCGAAGTTCTCTTCTTAGCTCTAATTTTTTCAACTCGTTAGATTGTTTCACTGTGTCGCTTATACTCTTTCCCGCTTCCGCGATTGAGCCGATGGCTTTCGCTCCGGTTGAAATGAGTGATTTGTTTTTTTGAAATAAAGCTAGCTACTTTTGGAATTATTGTTTTACCTAGAGAAAATAATGAAGAAAAGATACCGTCGCCCGAATAATCTTCGAATCTGTGTTGTTCGTGTTTTAGAATTAAACTCATCCTATTTTTAAATGAATTAATTTAACGAAGAAATTGTGGTCTGTTTTTTTTTTCCAAAACAAGAGTTATCTCCCTTAAAAATAACATTATTTAAAACGAGGCTATTAAAAACCGGATGTTAAGCGAAACAGGGATGTTATTTTTATATAAGGATATTATGCTTTTTTGATGGAATGTAGGAAATTGATTGAAGGTGTATTAGGTCTTTTTTAATGTAAGAATTTTATTAAATGTAGGATGTTTTGCTGTAAGAATTTATGAAATGTAGGATGTTTTGCTGTAAGAATTTATGAAATGTAGGGAGTTTAGGTCTTTTTTGGGAGCTTATACATAGGTCGCATTTTCCCCATGAAATGAAATGGAATGGGGAATCCCCATGCGACCTATGTATAAGCTCATATACTACTCACTGGGATTGAGAAAGTTATAAAGGTATTGGTTGAAGCAAAGAAGACATCGTTTAAATTGATGTTGGCTGGTGAAAACTATAGTCAACGTTGTTAAGATAGCTGCTTGGACAATGACTACTATTGATGTGTATTCATGACAGAGTTGGTTTATTATCATACATCATACATAGTTAACATAAAGATGAGATGACCTGCCAAGCCGGTGTCTACATGAACTTCAGACTATTAAGAAAGTCATAAATATTCTTTACAAACAAACAGTAAAATTGAAAAGCTTGGCTGATCATAGAACATATTTATATATGTTAAATTTAGCAATATTTCTAGTCAATGTCACACTTTCCCCCTTTTTAAAAAAAAAAAAAATATAACTTAATACAAATACTTAATATTAACACATGTACATAGGACTATTTATAAGTCAAGCTTCGTGGGTGGTTTGACAATACGTCCACTACGAGTTCTTGGAAGTGGTTCTGATGGGGTTTTGGGAGTTGAGTTTTCGGTGTTTTCTGTAGACCGCGAATCTTTATTTTCAGCTGTTTCAGGTTTCTTAGGTATCACTAAATGTAACGCGCTTCTTGACGTTAGAACTTTTCTGATTCTTTAATAAAGATGCTTTGTATCGCAGCGATTGGAGTACTTCTGGGTCGATTTCGCGTAGGAATCTTCGATTTCTTCGCAATCTTGAACCGTTAGAAAGTAATACTTCATAAGATCGTGGTTCATCTAATTTGTTGATAACTCGTGCAGGGGTCCATGAATGGTTTCCGTTTTGGACTCTGACGTATTGTCCTGTATACAGTTCTGGTAATTCACTTTTCAGTGACAGTGAAGAAGATGGTTTAAGCTGAAGTGACTATATTGAACACACAAATTCAGGCTTGAACAATAAAAAGATAAAACCACCTATTTCGATTTCTCAATAATGTATTTGTTTAAAGGGACAGTATTCACCATTTTTTTACCAATCTTCCTTCAGTCTCAAAAGGTGGATTTTTAGGTTAGGTTAGTAAGTATAACTTACAGATCACCATCGAAATTTGGGCCTTGAAATCCATGTGTCACTGAAAATGGCGAATCTCTCCCTGTAATCCTAGGCCTGTGCATTAATCGACATTATGTTAAACAGTAAAATTCTAGATAAAGAAAAGAAACAGTAAATACATAAAGGATAGCTCCAAAATAACCTCATATAAATTTTTCATCTTACAGGAGTGAAGGAGGAACGTGATACCAGATTTTGATATTTGATGTGGTGACTGTCGGTGCTACATGTGTCTACAGTAAGAGCAATTTTAGATTATGATGTGGTCTAAATAACATATACAGTAACTTACACTGGCGTGAACTAACATGACTAGATCAATCGATTTCTAACTTTTAGTCAGTATCAGTATCCCCGATACACATTAAACGGATTGTAAAGCGGTTTCTCTTATTTTTATATGATTCTATTTGAAAATATATGGATATATTGACCCGCATGCAACAGATTGATTGATATATTGTTTCAAAGATCAAATTTCCCAATTATATCCGATTTCTTCAACAGTAAATACCAAATGATATCAATTGTTTGTTTTGTTGTTTGGTTGCTTATTAAATGTTTCAGAAAATACGTTTAGTCCGAAGAAAAGAGCTCGTTTAGAAGATAGAGTAACACTAACACACATTCCAGGCGAGCTTGGATGTATCCCGGGAACAGATTTGTTGTAATTCGGTGAATAAATTCATGTTTTATTTTGGATTAATTTGGATTGGCTGCTTATCTGTTCATGTTTTGTCCAGCCCTCTTTCCTTTGCAATACTATTCCCCCAATTCGATATAAGATCAATGGTCAATTAAAAACGCATCCTTTTTACACTTGCTATTTTTGAAGTAAATCTTGTCTATGTTATTAATGTATTTCGTTGTTTATAATTGTAATGCCGTTAGATTTTCGTGTTCTTTATTATTATTGCTCTTTCTTTTATTGTATGTTTATTATACATTTATGTCAAAGGGTCTATCTTGTATGGTGTTACATGTATGAGAAAGTAATGTATATAATAATACTAATAATAACTAGAACTGTTCCCTTAACAGTAATGGTGCAGGGAGTGTTACGACAAAAAGTTTAAGGCCATGCATGGCACTACACAAATTTCAATATATCCATGCAATTCAGAAATTGTCTATTGAAATACCTACCAAGTTAAAAGAAATTTGAAAAAAAATTGAAATATTAAAATTGGTAATACGCATGAACTGCACGAATTAAATATTTATATCCAAAGGTCACAAATTATCATGACAAACATGATATAAATAACATACTTTTGAAATATTTTCAGGTATAATTTACGACGTTTTTGTTAATGAAAACTTTTAACAAAACGCGGAATACTCCTTTAATATCAGTTATTAGCCTTCGCTATCTTTGTTTTTGCTTTTACAAAACCCTATGTCACCGGAAGTACTAACATCGAAACAGGTTGTGGTGCAAGTATTTGGATTGTGCAATTCTATTTCTTCTTGGTGACGTGCTACATTATATAAGATTCAAACCAAATACAACCAAAAAAAAATATATTTCGAGTAATTTTATCAAAAAAAGGTATCGAACAAATGTTTGACAGTCTATCCTCTCTCACACATACAATGAAGTCGATAAATATGCCATTTTCTGTTTGTTGCTAACGTCGATTCATGTTGCGCAAAAAATGTTCGTTTTACATCCAGTACGTAATTTGCAACGAGTAAGACAAAGTCATGGAATTCGTTTTGTTGTACCTGTTGCTGTTTCCGATAAATAAGCTCCCGCGTGAATTTGTATCTTTTGATAAATTAAGTAATTTCGATTTTTATACTCCCACATGGAAATATATATATGGACGTATATTGGCGTCGCCCCTGTCCGTCGGTCCGACTTGTTGGCGCGATAGAGTCTACAGTTTTTATCCGAACTTGATGAAACTTGGTATGCATGAGATTTGAGATGAAATCTCATTCAGGTTCGAAATTGGTAATAATCGGATGAATGGTTTCTGAGTTATTCCCCTTGCGATTGTAGGCACGATAGAGACTGCAGTTTTTATCCAACCTATCAGATGAAACTAGGTTTGTATACGTTGATGAGATCTCAGTCGAGTTCATAATTGGTAACTATCGGATGAAGGGTTTCGGAGTTATTGCCCTTGACTTAGTAAAAAATTGTCAAATTCGGGTCGCAGGTACGATAGAGACTACAGTTTTTATCCAATCTTGATGAAACTAGATATGCGGGTATATATTAATGAGATCTCGGTCAAGTTAGAAATTGGTAATAATTGGAAGAACCGTTTCAGAGATATTGCCTTGTGCGTACAGCGATGAGACATTGCTCATATTTGAATTCGATGATTATTTTTTTAAGAACTGTTTCATGTTTTTGCCATGACTTATAGATGATTTCAAGATTATTTGAAAATTCATTATTAAGCCACTAAAGATTTTGTTATCATTTCTGACAGCTGCGTAGTGGGCGTGTGTTACCTTGCCTGACAAGCTATCTTTATAGATATTTGTATTTGGTATATTTCACTTCTAATTTTACTGTCACTGTTAAATTCTTGACAAAATATTTCAATTTTTGTCTAGGAAACAACCAAAGTTATAAGTATGCAAACCTAATTGTATTATTGCATTATTGACCTTAATTGATATATTGCTTTTATGTACGTATGATTTCGTAAATTCTTGATTTCCTGCGTATAACCAAATTTTCATGAAGCATTGTTTTCGGCTATTTTGATTAAAGAGTTAAACATTTCTATAAATAATTTTGTCCATGTAAAATGGAGGGAGGAGGTGGGGGGGGGGGGGGGGGTGTATTTGCGTCACCCATATCTGTCCGTCCGACCACAATTGCTCGTTAGTGTTTGTAAACTCCCACGTTGGTGAACATAATACCGAAGATCGAAGTGAAGATACAGAATTAATGTACCAACATCAACTATTGAACATTGGAACAGAACGCCGAAAAGCTGTGATACGTAAGCAAATTGCTGAAAATAGAACCAGGATTAATGCACTCTCCCAACTTACTCCCGCTACATGGAATCCAACGGCAAATCCAGGGACAACACCTGTTCCTGCAGTACAACAAGGTGAGCAAATTACAGAACCACTATGTCAGAATCCTATTGGAGGTATTCTGGTAGATCTAGACACCACTAAACCCGACAAGTTGCTACAAATCATAAACTTCCTTCGGCTAGATCCAGTTGGTGTCAATACCTATTCCTTTGGCGATGGCCTAGAATTTCGAATTGGCCAAAAAAGGTCACTTGAGAATGTTAGTGTAGAGGAATTGGGATATGCAAACACGCGGATATTACAAGAATTGATGAAGCTTGATCCCGAGTTCAACCCTAATCCTTACCTAAAATATACAGCTTATATATTTCGCCTTGCTGGTAAATATGTTTGGTACTCGGTTCTCCTTTACGATAAAGAGTATCGCGAGCGTCAGACCGTTGAGAAGTTTGAATGGGGTGCCTGTTTGCAAGATTTAAGGGAATTTCAGCTCAAGAAAGATCACCCAACGGCTTTAGCTTTGCAAGAACAGAATTTAGCACACAACAATACAAAACCAGTGGGATACGGCAAACCAAGTTCCAATTCCTATCCGATTAGTGTGCGCAGGAAGGGACCCTTCACGTCGGAGGGTGGATAGATCTGTCGTAACTTTAATAATAATGTGTTATAGAAAAGAATGTGCTATCTGCTTATCTAATCACCATTCAGCGCTTGATGGTCACGGTCCTAATGTGAAGACACAAGTGCATCAAAATTTTCAACAACGGACTGCTTAGATCAACAGTGCTCTTCAGGAGTTATTCCCCGTTATAACAACTGTTTGGTTTATCATGCTTGGGAACGGCTCCTGCCAACAGATTATAACGAAAGGGAATTTTTACTATCGGGAGTAAAAGACGGTTTTCGCTTAACTACTCAGTATGGCCCACATTTACCTGTTGATAGGGATAATTACACGTCTTCATTCACTTATCGTGCCACAGTCGAAAAACATATACTTTTTGAGCTGTCTGTCGGTAATTATGTGCCCGTAGAAAAACCTACAATAATAAGTTCGCTGGGGGCCATACCGAAACCAAACGGCGATGTGCGTGCCAACCGGTTGGGAATTCATTAAACCTGCTCCCCTCAGACACCAACTGCTCATAGATCGGCCTAAAGTATGCTCTTAAAATTATAACTCCGAACTGATATTTAGCCAAGGTGGACCTCAAAAGTACATATCGCTCAGTACGATGTCACCCTTCTGAATATTCTTTATGGACTTAAATGGATTTTTACCGGAACCAAAGAGCCTGTATATCTATCTGTATGATGCCAAATTACCCTTTGGGCATGCGCGAAGCCCAAAGATTTTTCAGTGCTGCAGTATGCTTTATTATGAAATTTATTGCGTACTTAAATGATTTCCTCGTCATCGAAAACACCTTGGCATTGTGTGACAGAGGACTAACGTTATTACTCAAAAGGGTGTTGGGCTTTAACATTTCTTGGGACAAAGTTGAAGGCTCAGCCCAACGCCTATCATGTTTGGGCATTACAATCGACACTCGTGAACTGACTTTGTCAATGCCACGTGCGAACAGTTGGAATTTTTGACAGTATTATTGAATTTTCAAGGGCGTAAACGCACCAGTTTAAAGCAACTTCAATCACTTTGTGGAAAGCTCAACTGGGAATGTCATGTGATTAAAGGTGGTAGGGTGTTCTTACGACGAATGATCGATATGACTACTTCCTTAATGGGAAGAAACTACAAATTACGATTATCTGAAGAATTTCATTTGGACATATCTTGGTGGGTGAATTATATGACTGTGCAATCCCATTACCTCGCTGCAAACTGATGCCTCCGGTGCAGGCGGAGGAGAGTACTATCACGGTGACTTCTTTTATGTTAACTGGGCCCTTGATTTACCGATATTTGCAATGGAGCATATAAATGTGAAAGAGCTGTCGTCCTGTCAGTGGTAAGATGGGCTCCATTGTGGGCAAATAAAACTGTTGTAGTTGCTACGAATAATACGACAACCAAATGCATCCTTAATAAGGGATCTTCTAAAAACAAAATTTTAATGATGTGTTTACGAGTTCTATTTTGGCTATGTGCCTTTTATAATATTCAGCGTATGGACGTATCACAAGTTGATTGATGTCTGGTCATTCTTTTGAAAGTGGCAAAACGTTGCAATTTCGCTCAAAATCAAGTATTCCTTCCCAAGCTTATTGAACACACCATGGATCCCCATGCTTCCTTACTATTGTTGTTATCTCGCCCTGCTCTTCCAACTGACCCGTTGTTCATACTCGATAATCAAAGTTGTTTAACTTATACAGCATTCTTAAGGCACTACGCCAATCTCAACTAGGCTTGCCGCCAATGATTTATTGTGGACATTCTTGTAGACGCGTTGCAGCTACTTGGGTCAAACAATCTAGTCTCTCGGACAAGCAAATTCAAACTTTAGGCTACTGGTCAAGTTCCGGCTTTGAAAGTTACGTTGACCCTAGCCGCTTGGGTGCCCTAAATACTTTTACATCTAAATTTCCCAACTTCTAAAAACCTTTCTGTCACAAAATCCACTTTTTGGGGTTTGGGAGTTTTAATATTTGAAATATACACGTGTATGTTGATTTTATTATGTTTATGTGTTACTTTGTATTACATTGTTGTACTTTTAAATTGTTAATTAAAATGTAGTGCTAATTTCATACTGCTCTTTCATTTGCCTTAGCTTGAAGATCGTCAGGTAAATGAAAGATTTACATCTTATAGTAAATCTATTTTTAGATGACGTGTCCTTCACCTTAACACAAAGTTCGCTGTCTCGTTTTCAGAGCAACTCACGCTTCACGCTTCCTCCATTTTGACAAGCAGTTTGTTTGTAAAACCTCTTGAAAACCCTCCCACCCTTCCAGTTGTACGACTGAGGGTAGGGTATGATTAAATGCTTTAATGTATTGCTTTGTTTCTAGAGTTTTAATATTTATAATAATGTTGATTTTATCATGTTTGTGTATTACTTTGTATTACATTGTTGTACTTTGTAATTGTTAATTAAAATGTAGTGCCAATTTCATACTGCTCTTTCATTTGCCTTAGATTTAAGATCGTCAGGTAAATGCTTCGATCTAGCTAAGAAATCAGCGTATAAAAAACATGCTCTAGAGTATCGAACCAATTGAGATACATATACTCCATAAGCTGACGAATGCTTAATGTTGCTGCAAATAAAAGGCAAATTGACGATTGTAATATAATTTTATACTTAAAATAAATCCGTTATTTAATGTGATCTCTACCCCTAAATATCGCTAAAGTATAATTTTATAATTAGTTTCTGTTCTAAGATGTTTTCAAGATGTGTACTTTTCGTCATCGGCTGTTTACTAAATTTGGAACTATTTAAGGATAGGACATCATCTATAAACCGATAAATGAAAGTAAAACGCTTAGCTAGTCGTTTGTTAATTTTTTACGGGTTTTGACAGGGCAGAAATAAGGTCATGTAATGTTACTCAATTCTAAAACGTGCATATTAATCAAAACATGTAATGGCACGCCATGTACTCTGCTCGTTTGTATATAAAAATAAATCGCTTGTTGATAAATGTCGCCGGTAATGAATATAGAATTTCGTTGTTTATTCTTGGGCGAGACTCTTTACTTCCGGTATATAACGGTGATTTGTCAAGCGATAGTATATATATTAAAATTTAGAGCTTTTGGGGGATAAAAGTGCCCACCCCACGTTTACAGTACAATCAGACGGCCCGTTTTCCCACTAGTTCATCATTTGGGCACACACTATTTATGCCTTGAACCAGGTTTGTCACTATTGTTGTGGAGTTCGTTTTCATAGCTTGAAGCGGCGAATGAGAATGAGAATTGGCAGAAACGTACTGGGTTTTTATAGCCATCAGGCCAGGAAGTGATTGTACTAACGTTCTGAACGGACTAGGAAGGAGATGAGAACGTATACTCAGAACGAGTTCAACTGGCTTTGAACGAGATTGTCGAGTTATGAACTAATTAGAACGGATTTCGACGTATAAGGAACGTGGTGGAACAAGATAAGCACTAGATGGGCGTATTGGATAAAATTTGTGAACTATCTATGATCGCATAAAAGACATTTTCCTGCTAAATTTACACGTTCTCGTAGGGTCAACTGCGGTAAGTTAATTTGGTTTTTGCAAGTTGATTTTGTTTTTGATGTTACGACAGACTGTGATTTAGTTCCTGTATCGTGTTTGTCAACGTACTTATATTTTTGATTTATTAACCAGATACCCGAGACTTTTATTTCTTGTTCACTAAGACTTAAAATCATCGGGATTAAGCGTACAGGTTTCAAAAGGTCCAAAAACAACGGGGTAAGGTCTCGTGTCACGCTCATTCACAGTTCTAGTAATAACATTATTAGTGATTAAAGAACACTATATTGATACATGTTAGTTATAAAAAAAAATCAGTAGACATTTGTAGAAATGCAACAGAATTAAAAAGAAACGGTAGTAGACGTAAGTTAGTATAGTTCTACGATCAAAAGAAAAATGAGATATACTCCGATAATTCACCCCGACCCAAAATTGTATACAAATAAATCAAAATCAAAAATTGACTCCCAAACTTTTTAAGTATTGTTATGTTATCTCATTTAAATTCAAATCTGATAAGCCATTATCTCTGAATAATCTGAAAATCGGGATGGCGGACAAAGTCTAGATTTATTTTTAATTTTCGGTTTTTGTTTTCATAGTGATGGATACTCTTCAATCACATACACCGGAAGTGGGTTAACTGGATGGTTACATTTTGGTCAGAAGTGAACCGAAAGTGTTGCAAAAATTGTGCCATTTTGTTTACTTAAATAATGTCTTTTAAAGGAAAAACCTTTCACGGGAAATTTTAGATCAGACAAAATTTTACTGAAATTAAGAATAGCCCTTTTTCAGTAAATTAGTAGTTCCACTTACTATGCGTTTATGACGTCACTATCACAAAGGTCCGTGTTATAAATATCAAAAGCAGCTTTGCGATAGTGACGCCATACAAATGCTTACTTTTGGTTGAATTGCAAGTGCCACAGAAATCTGACTGAAAATTGGAACTGATTATGTCACGAGTTCCTCATAAAAAATTCAGAAAACCTCTTTACAATACCTTAAAATATATCAATCTCATCTTGATAACGACAACACATACATAGTCCTGTAGGCCAACTGGTAGGCTGCCTTCATACAAGTAAACTGAGGTTAGGCCTTTCATACAGGCATCACCAGTGCTGTCTGTGTATTTTCTTTTTTTCTGGTACTGAAATCATCATAACCTTAATGTCTACGCAAGTTGTTGAGAAATTTGCCGATATCGTTATGACAAAGGAATTTATTCTTCAGTGGATTTATCTGGTGTCATACTCATACAACAGAATTCCTCTATGGTCGATTAAATCCTTGTAAATATTTATTATGAGCGCAAAGACATTCTTAGACTATAAAGTACTTTTTTGAGGCTGGTACTACTAAATAAAAAATAATTGTTATCGAATTCATATTAAAGTTTCATGAGGAGTACGAAGACTTCATGTCTATAAGCTTAAACTTTCTAGGTGTAGGTATAATTTGTTTGATGAACAAGTAGTTGCCAACCAAGATACGCCCACTTTTCAGTATATCAAGGGCGGGCATCAATCTGTGTTAAATTCTACCAAAAGATCTATTGATTAGTCCAAAATATTGTTGATTTAAAGCAACACGCAATGTCCATTGAGTTCACGAGCAAATGTTGACTAGTTTTTATTGAGTCAAGGGCATTAATTCGAATTCTGTTCATCGAAAATCGTCAAATTCGAACTTGATCAAGATCTCATTGTTATAGATGATAGATTATATGTGGGCGTATGAAAATGAAAGAAAAAGAATTATCCTTGTTTCCATTTCTTCTATAAAAACTTCACTTGTGCAATTTGAGAAAACCATGCCGGATCCTCTAAAAACGACAAAACAGGCACACCGCGTTTCCGTACCACAGACCGCAACCGAACCGTGCACCGCACCACACATCGTGCTCTGAGTGTTCAGGTGTTAACACATTACAGTCGAAGGGTAGGTTTAACTGACGGAGTTATGTACCTCTGTCTGTGATCGTGGTACCGCTTGAGAATTCTTTCACTATGTCAGTGCTCTAAACATGCCGGCATCTCATTCATATATCACGTTCGAGGAACGGAGAGGGCCAGATGTGCAAATAGAAAATTCGGCCAGATTTATCGTGTTGGGTTAGTTGTTAAAGTTATTAGGGTCATATGAAACAGTGGCACGGTGTTGTGATCTCTAAAAAAGTTTTACATTTCATCAGATTGGTAAAGACACTTCAAATATAACCCCGATAAAAAGTGGGGTATTTTGTACAAAAACAAAATGATATTTACAGCTTTTATTTGAAGGAAATTATATTTATTATATTTTATCAATATTTAAAGCTTTGTTGATGTCCAGCACACATATTTTCATAACGTCTATTTATAGGTTGATCTTTGTAAGATCCTTACTAGTTGCAAGATATTTTTCGCCTGCAGTAATAACGGCATATCAATCATATGACCTTGAAAAGTAAATGCTCCCTGCAATTTAAAGAATATTGCTTGCTTGAAACAAACGTCAATTTGCACACTGTCTAAATGGAAGGCTGAATGGCTTTTTATTGAATGTTTTTCATATTTCTTAATTCTTCATTCTGAAATCTTATTTCTTAATTCTACGCTTAATTCAACATTTGTAATTGAAAATTGACATTCGTATGCGAAAATCAACATTCTTTGATAAACACTAGGTTTTCCATCTATTAATAAATAAATTCTTGCCAAAATTATCTTCTTCTTGTATTTTATATTTTCAGCTAGAATTTTTTATTATATCAATAGATGGAACACCAGTGTTAATCGAAAATTTAATTTTCCCGTACATATGTTAATTTTAAATGACAAACGTTAAATTTAAAGCAGAAATCACGAGATAAGAATTTAGAAATAAGATTTAAGAAATAGCAATTAAGAACATTAAGTTACAAACCACCCCGCTTTCCATATGTCTAAGCTAAAATGACAAATTTTCTCATCTTTAAGAACTTCCTAATGTAATTTGTTCAAAAACTTTGAATGTAGCCTATTAATAAACCACAAATTCCCAAGTTATATAATTATATATAGACACAGCTTTATGGAACAACAATCACTGGTTAAAGTTTTATGCAACGTTTCGACGTGTTCCCCCGTCGTCCTCAGGCACATAATGAGAAGAAGTGATGGGCAAACTATATATACATTAATGCTTATTATTAAGAACACACAAGAGATAAATGGTTTATTGATACATTACATTAAATTTTAACAGGTACAATAAGAGGTATATAATTCTTAAAATAACATACAGGCTGATTAAGTAAAATAATTGAAATAAGATAAATGAATTAAAAAAGATTAATTGAAGATTAAATAAACAACTATTGCTGGTATTGGAGTCTTTTATTAATAGAAATTACATTGTTCATATAACTAACTATGCTTAAAGTTGGAAATTGTTTGAATATGAATAATTAAAAGTTGATAAGTTTATCATATGCATGCGATAAACGAACACCTTCATCTCTGTTAAGGTCAGGCTGATATCTTCTGATGTGGATAGCTTCATGAAGTCTTCTGGTTTTATCTATGTGCTTATTGATTGTCAGTATGTTGGTGTTGTCAAAGTTGACTTTATGTCCTGTTTTCCTTCCCATAGCAAGATGTTCAGCCACAGCAGATGTTCCTTCATTGCCGGGCTTGTCTTGATGGTCTTTGAGTCGAACATCAAGGGGTCTCTTTGTTTCCCCTATATACGAGNCTTCCACAGGAGCACTCAACTTGGTAGACACATCCCTTAGGTTTTTGG